AAGTGAGGACAGTTCAGTCAATTTCAACTTGAGGACTAATTAATAAAACTGCAGTAAACAACTGCATGCATCTCAAAATACAATCTGTTCTATTCACATAGCAACAACTGCCAACTTGCAAAGACAGGGTTATGGGCTGTAACACAGCCTCCCTGGTGGTTCAGGTTTAAGGAGGACAAATCGGGTTGCTCCTTGTTATGAATGACCTCACATTCCAGGGTGACTTCCCTGCTCAGGGTGATGGCCCAGAGCTGCAAAGCTCGTGGTCAGATAGATCAGAAACTTTGCCAGTGAGGACTGACTAGGAATGCTGGTTAGCCACATGAAACATTCATTCTGTACCCCCTTTAGTGGCGGGTGGTTTAAAGACCAGTGAGAGGTTAAAAAAAAAAAAAAGCTCAATGAGTGGCCCGTTGCTGTGGACACTCCTTACCAGATGGGCCTATAAATATAAAAGCAGATGCACACTGCTCCTGCCTTCTGCACACCTTGTCCACCCCCAGAATCATTTCTTCCAGCAGTTTCCCTAAAGAACAACCTAAGACAACCAGAATGGCCTAAGCAACTGGCTCTGCCCTCCAGAACTAGGCGTGTTCGTCGCACAAACACAGGGGGCCCTGACCACGAGCCTTCATCTCCAAATCCAGGGAAGCTCAGACTGAAAGAATAAAGATGCCTAGATGGCCACACCCACTCCCCAGCCTCTACTACTGAGAGAGGGAATGTATGGGCAATGACGTCCCAGGAAGGTGGTCTTCCTACCTCCCACTTCAGCTCTTCCAGACTCCTCCAGATGCTTAGGAAATGCATCCAATAACTTCCAAAAACACCTGTCTTCATCGTGAGCCTGAACCCCGGGCAAACACAGACATGGGGAAAATGGTTTCTTGGGAGCTTCTTATAGAAGGCATATGGCCCTAAACCTTCCTGGCATCCCCTTCCCTACCAAAAAGAATCCCCTGTTTGAGAGTCTATGTAAGGCCCTGCACCATTTGCCTAATTATGAGTCCACTGGACCCCAGAGCCATCTCCACTCTAATTGAAACTCACCTAGTTAGTGTAGCCTAAACCCACCAGAGCTCTCCTGCCCTCCTCATTGTTCATAGTGCCGCCTAGAGTCCTGACCTTCCCCAGAGACTCTTCCTTTTAGGGTCCTAAGCTCTCATCCTAAGCCCTAAGCTCTTACCCTATGCACCTATGAGCCTGGAACACAGTGGCCACCCAGGACTTTATAGAAAGTGAGAAAAGGCTTGGTCATTTGAGAGAGCTCTTCCACCAAACCCAAGCCAAGCACTGGCCATGCCTCTTTCCCGGCATTGCCTCTGCCTTCTGTGGTCCGTTCGGGACTTGCTCCATGCCCAGTCTCTCTCTCTCTTTGCTTTCGATCTTTAGACCCTACCTGGACCTCGTGAACTTGCTGCTGACCTGTGGGGAGGAGGTGAAGGAGGCCATCACCCACAGCGTGCAAGCTCAGTGTGAGCACAACTGGGGAAGCCTGTGCTCCATCTTGAGTTTCTGCACCTCCGCCATCCAGAGGCGCCCCACGGAGCCCCCCGAACGCCAGCCCCAGGTGGACACAGCCAAGCTCTCCAGGGCCCACCACGGGGAAGCAGGACATCATCTCCCAGAACCCAGCAGTAGGGAGACCGGCAGAGGTGCCAAGGGCGAGCGAGGTAGCAAGAGCCAGCCAAACCCCCATGCTCGGGGTAGAGTCGGGGACCTTGGGGCCCAGGGACCTTCTGGAAGCAGCGAGTGGGAGGATGAACAGTCAGAGTATTCTGATATCCGGAGGTGAAACGAAACGCCTGGTGACGAAATCTTTCCTCTGCGCCGTCCATTTTCTTACCTATGGACATTCCAAAACATTTACCATTAGAGAGGGGGGATGTCACATGCAGGATTCTATGGGGACTGTAGGCTTCATGGAGGTGTGTGTTCTCAGAACGGACAGGTGAGATGGAGACCCCTGGGGCCGCGGGGTCTCGGGGGTGCCTGGTGAATTCTGCACTTACACATACTCAAAGGAGCGCGCCCGCGTTATCCTTGTATCTTTGTCTTCTTTCCATCTGTGGAGCAAGTGGGTGGTGGCTGCTCTGTAGTGGGGGAGGTGAACCGGGAGGGGCAGGGTAAGGCAGGACCCCCAGGGCTGGACCACACAGTGGGTGCTGGGCCCCGCCCCAAAGCTTGTGGTGCAGCAGCCTCTGGTGCTGTCTCCACAGAAGTCAGGGTGGCTGGATTCCAGGACAGGAGTGAATGTAAAAATAAATATCGCTTAGAATGCAAGACAAGGGTGGAGAGGAGGCAGGGGCCGCGGGGGTGCTTGGTGCCAAACTGAAATTAAGTTTCTTGCATGGGACCTTGCAGTTCAGAGCTCTTGGTGGGGGCAGGGGGAGGGGTGGGAGGAGTGTCATATCTCTGTGTAATTTCTGAGCCATTGTTCTGTCTGGGCTAGGGGCGGGGGCACACTGTCCAAGGTAGTGGCCCCTATGAGTTTATATTTTTACCACTGCTTCAAATCTCCATTTCACTTTTTATTTGTCCAGTTATATCTACATATCTGACATCTAAATAAATGGCTTTCAAACAAAGCAATTGGGTCATTAAAACCAGCTCAAAGGGGATTTTTAAAAAACCAGCCTATTCTTTGAGGCTGATTTTTTTTTTTAAGTTCTATTTTAAAAGCTATCAAACAGCGACATAGCAATACATCTGACTGCCTGACATGGACTCCTGCCCACTTGGGGGAAACCTTACGCCCAGAGAAAAATGCACACATGTGGAGTACATTTGACAAATTTCCCTTAGGATTTTGTTATCTCATCTTGACCCTCAGCCAAGATTGGTAAAGCTGCGTCCTGGCAACGCCAGGAGGCCCAGCTGGAAACCTGGCTTCTCCATCTGAGAGGATGGGAAAGGAAAGAAGAGAATGAAGGCTGCTTAGTAATTCCCATCAGGAAATGCTGACCTTTTACATAAAATCGAGGAGACTGCTGAAAATCTCTAAGGGACAGGGTTTTCTAGATCCTAATTGGAAATTTAGCAACAAGGAGAGGAGTCCAGTGCGACAAAAGAAAGGCAGAGTGAAGAGACAGAACTGAAAATATGAGGAAGGGAGGGTGAGGATACTCATTAAAAGTCTCAGTACTAGGTTTCTTGCATCATTGCCTGTAATCCCAGCACTTTGGGAGGCTGAGGCAGGCGGAGCACCAGGTCAAGAGATTGAGACCATCCTAGCCAATACGGTGAAATCCCGTCTCTATTAAAAATACAAAAAATTAGCTGGGCATGGTGGCAGGCACCTGTAATCCCACCTACTCAGGAGGCTGAGGAAGGAGAATTACTTGAACCCCAAAGGCAGAAGTTGCAGTGAGCTGAGATCGCGCCACTGCACTCCAGCCTGGTGACAGAGTGAGACTCTGTCTCAAAAACAAAACAAAAAAAAAAATCACCTAGGTAGGTCTTTTCTTCCTAATAGGCTGTCAGATTAAAGCTTATCCTTTCTCAAGCAGAAGCTGATATTGTAGGGAGTGGCTGGGTATCCTGGGCTGTGCCCTTCTGGAGCACGGGTCTGCAAGCATTGTCTATAACGGTCCAGATAATGAATCCAGTATTTTCAGCTTGGCGGGCCATAAGGTGTCTGTCGAAACTACTCAACTCTGCCATCCTAGGACAAAAGCAGCCATAGACAACACACAAACAAGAGGGCTTGGCTCCCTTCCAGGAAGATTTATTGAACAGGCCCCCAGCTGAATTTCACTCACAGGACGCAATTTGCTGATCTCTGTTCTAGTGAGTGGGCCAAAAAGCACATGAATCATCTGTCAACTCATTAGCTTTTCCCTTTTCCTCAAAGCAACCTGAGGCCAGACACCAAGAAGCTAAGTGTATCTGCTGTAAAATGACTGGTTCCCGGGGAATGCGTTCAACCAACACACAGCTAGTATTTTTATGTCCCAAACCCAATCCCACAGTCTTTCATGGTCCATGAAGTGAGGAAGTGGGGAAATCATCAGTTGGGGGAGGGGAGGAGACCCCGCCCTCAGCCCCCGCCACCTGGTCCCTCAGGACCCAGCAAGATCTGGGGCTGCAGAGAAGAGAACAGAAGAGCTGGTGCACTTAATCCAGCTCCGCCTTTGGTGGGAGGAGGACTGGTGTGTCAGGCTCTGCCACGGGAACAAGTGTAAACTGTGGCTGTCTCCTGCAGTGAGCCACCTCGGCAGGCAGGCACGTTGACTGTTTTACTAACATCACTCAAAAGCTAAAGCAATAACATTCTCCCGCGTTGCTGAGTCAGCTGTTCATTTGTCCGCCAGCTCCTGGACTGGATGTGTGAAAGGCATCACTTTTCCATTTTCCTCAGTGCAAATGTTTTATGTGATCACCTACTGATGTCCCATTTGTTGCTTCTATTTTAAACATTTGTCGTTTGTATTTATTATCTCTCAACCTCGTGACCTTGTGATCCTAAGGCATGAAATTGCTTACTATGTTCATTCGAACCCATTTACTGATCTCTGTTGTATATTTTTCACGCCACTGGTTTGTTTTCTTTTTTTTTTTTATTATTTATTTTATTGCATTTTAGGTTTGGGGGTACATGTGAAGAACATACAAGATTGTTGCATAGGTACACGCGTGGCACCAAAGACAAAAATCACATGATTATCTCAATTGATGCGGAGAAGGCCTTTGGCAAAATTCACTGGTTTGTTTTCTTCTCAGAAGTCAGGTAGATAGCATTTCAATCCTGTCCCTCATGAGATTGGAAGCATACGATAGTACTGATTGCTCAGGGTCTTCTGCTCAAAACCGAGGGAGGTCCAAATTCCTGTAAGCATTGGTTGAGACATTTGCACAAACTAAAATGTAAGCAAAGTCGTCATTAAAAATACACCCTCTACTTGGGCTGTATATTGCTTACAAATTGACTCATGAGCCTTCCTTTGAGGAAGGATGTGCATCTCCAAATAAAGATGTGATGTTTATTTTGAGTTCTGCATCTTAACAAGATGGTCTGAACACCTCTCCTTTGTATCAATAAATAGCCCTATTATTCTGAAGTGAGAGGACCAACTGTAGTAAAATGCTGACACCTAAAACTAAATAAATAGAAAACTCCAGGCCAGAGCTACAGTCATACACACAGAAAGGGAGAAATTTAAACTCGAACCAAGTAAAAGTCTTTGCAGAAATAGCATGGAAAAACAATGCTTCCAGTGGCCACTTCCTTAGGAAGAACAACCCCATCCGATCCCAGAATTGGCACCATGTGAGCTTGCTAAGTCATAGCATCTGTTTCTGTTATGGGTTTACGCGACAGGGCTTATACGTTGTCACATTGCATTATTTTTCTTGAAGCATTAATAAAAGTTTTAAATAAATGGCTTCCACTTGAGTAGCATCATTGTCTGAGAGGGTCACTGGTGTCCGGTGCTCAGGGGGAAAGCTGTGAGCAAGTGAGCTCTTTCGTCAAGAGAATCCTATTCTTCTGCGGATGTTCAACCTGCAGGGAGGGGCACCAGATAAAGAAGACCACCCTGGGTCGCCTCCATCAGGGGGATTCTGTCCAAGTCCCTGCCTGAGTCACCCAGACAAGGAGAAGGATACATTTCATGCAGCTGGCCTGGAAGTGCCACCCCCACATCCCATTTGGGAGGTCCTCAAACCTCACTCTGGTCTCACCTTTGAGTCTCCCCTGTGGCCTGGCCAACCCCTCTCTCAGACTGAGCCTGCAGCAGACACCACCAGCTTAACAGTTGAGTGTCCTGGCACATGCACGGAAGCCCACCGCCTCCTCCCCAGCTCTTGCTCACACCAGAACAGAGCTAGAGCCCTTGGTTTATGGGATTTATGCCACTGTTGGTGTACCCACTACATGCCAGGCACCACAATAGGCATTTTGCATGCATGATCTCAGGCTCAGTATGTCCCACAAATAATAGGTATTATCCCCATTTTACAGGTAAGGAAACTGAGGTACAGACTTATTCCAAACTGCGCGGAACTAGGGAGTGGGGTGGGGTCTGAACTCAAACCCAGATCAAGACTCCTAAGCCCGCACACCTCCCCCGACTTCAGGCCTAGAACCTTCACTTTCTTTTTAATTTAAACCAATCAGTGTTATTCCTATTTTACACGAGGCTTGGGGAAAGAATAATTATACTCTTACATTTATAGTTCCAGGCCTCCAAGGAGTTCTGCTTCAAAATGGAAAGGAAAATTAATGCTTTCACCTTTGCTCTCTGCAAAGACTCAAATTTTGGTTCCAATAAGGAAAGCAGGAGAGTCGTGGCGCCTCCTCACTTTTCTTTGCATGTGGATAATTTTTTATAAGGTTCTTCTCATGCACCACTGGGAAGGAATTTAGGGATCATCTGGCTTTTGTGAAACATGCAGCTGAGGCTTTCCTCACTAAATTCACCCCATCACCTCTCTGAGAAGCCAGGCTCCTCCAAACTTATCATCACCCTCACCATGACAGTCGCAGATTCCTGGGGACCCATGATGTGCTCCATGCTTTGCCTGGTGCTTTAGGGATATTATTTCTAAAACGCATTTTAAAGACAAAGAACCAGAGTCTTCATGACATTTAATATGCCTGGAGCCAGTCACAAGGCTAGTGAGCTCTAGATTCAGAGGCAAATGCACCCCTCCGATTTGTCTTCTCACATCCCAGGCATGAACACATGGGTTAAATTCACCCAAATGAGTTCAGAAATGCAGCTGCTTCCCCCTAAGCCCCGGGGTTGTTCCAATCCAACCGTTCTGGAATTATTAGGCTGTGGGAGGAGAAGGCCGAGAGCTTCCAAATATGCTGGGATTTAAGCAAAGTTTCCAAAGGAAGCTGGATCTATGCACCCCAAAATCTGGACACAGAACTCCAAATTGGTTCTAAAGTCAACAAAAAAGAAAGCCCCTGCTGAGGAGGGGACAAGCCCTGGCCAGAGAACCGTTTTTATGTGAATTATTTTTTGTGGGTGGGAGAAGAGGAGAAAAGAGCAATAGACGTTTTGGGCTGGGAGTCCCGTGTTGCTGCTCGCATAAGCGGTTCAGTTTTTATCACTCCCCACAAAGAACAACAAAAAAAGTCACTTCCCAAAGATTGCAGAAACAAAAAGTCACAAAAGCAACCTAGACTTGTGCATGAAGTGGACTCCACACCAAGACGAACCGGGATCTCACGGCACCTTAGCATCTGTCACCACCTTGCCACCACTGAACAGTGGGCCTGCCTGAGTGAGCTAAAACTTGGGAGAAACAGGGAAAGCTCCTACACGGAATTCTCAGCGACAGCAGAGGCAGAGTATTGTTCACAAGGTAATGAGGAGAATCAGCTGGTTCCATTTCCCATTCGATAATTTCCAGGAATTTTTATGGTTTTTAAAATTGAGGGGGAATGTACATGTAAAAAACAGTGGCATGCTAAAGAGGATGAGGACCATCTGCTTGTTCCCCGAGGTATGAATGATATTGTGCAAAGGGCTGAAGGCTCCAAAGAGGGCTTTGTTCGGAAAGAATGATCAGTCCCTAGAATTCTGCCCCAGTTGTTTATTGCTATGTAACAAAACTATCCCTGAAGTTTAGTAGA